GGTATCAATGGTCATCTTGTGCAGAGCGGCCAGGTAGCAGCGCGGATTTGTGGTCGACGCGATGGGATGTGCACGTTTTCACTCTTTGGATCGTCATTATCACCAGGGATCAGTCTGGCGTGGGAGACGGAGCCTCTCGATTTCGCCAACAAACGGATGTTAATACCGGACCACCTTTCTCATACAGCTCCTTTGCATATCAGCTCCGGTGGCGGTCAATGTCTGACTCTTGATGGGTTTAGGTCACAGCAAAGTTAGCGTCGCGTATGACCTCTGCCTGCTATCAGCTCCTCTCATCCCAGCCGGTCTGGAGGGGTCAGCGTCTGCAATAACACTCTTCGTCACACGTCAGTCCCGCGAACAACCTTGGTTAGCTCAGAGTGCGCCGACAGACAGGCCGGGTCACTCGGGAGTTGTGGCGGACACGGTCTGCTGTGTCGCCGCTGATGGAGATCACTCAGGCCGCCGCGGTCTAAATGAAGTCCTTGTAGTCTCAGATGCAGAGAGACAGATAGGAGGGTGACTGGTGAGGTAAGATGAGGTATGATGAAGTCTGACGTGTTGGGCCAGTGGGGCTAATAGCTGGGCCAGGGAGCCATGTCGTCATGTGAGCTGACTGCTGGCATTGTTAGTCAGGTGGCCATGCAAGCTAGCTACTGACTTCACTGAGATATCTGGTAAAATGAGCTAATTACCGGCTCATTGAGCCAGGTGGTCAGACAAACCGCCGACCGGATGCCCTGCATGCTGAGTCGCGGGCAGACGCCGCGATGCCCCGAGTCCGATAGCCGTTTGGAGTCGGAGTCGGCCGGCCACGCGCCACACACCGAGTCGATGCGGCCGAAATGGGCCTCCGAAGGTCGGGCCGATAGCGGACTGCGTCAGCGACGTCCGGTGGCCTGTCAGCAGAGGGGTGTTTACCGGGGCTCCTGCAGCAGACTGCGGCCCGTCGGTGCCTCCCGAAAACATGGTGGGGGCGTCATATCCGCCAGTCCCTCCTAAAGGCACTGCGGAGGAATTGCAGACCCGGCTAGACCCGTTATAGGAACGTTGACTGTAGACTTTCCAGCCATTTCTTCATGGACGGTGATTTATTGACTCTACGGACTCTCTCAAGGGGCAGTGACTGGGATGCAGACGCACCAGTCCTTCCCAAGACGCGGGGACCCCGCCTCTCAGCAGCCGATCCTGCACCCTCTCTGCCTCTCAGCCTCTCCCCGCCTCTCAGCCCTAACTCCGCGTCTCGGTGTTCTTCACTGTCCTCCGCTGTCGGTGTTTTGCTGCGGAAGGGTGTCGGTGAGCCCGTCTTTCAGTCCCACCGGTGGCACTGCGCCGCTCCAAGGCTGCACAGGGCCGCCGAGGGGCGTTGGTTGTTTATGCCATCTGTCTCAGCATGCTCACGTCTCTCCGTGCCTTCGACTGGTGAGCCGTGGTGAGCTGGTGCTTTTTCTGCACCGTGTTGTAATGTGTTTTATCATGGTATTTATGAGGCCTAAAACGCCCATGACTTTCGCTAATGCATAGTAATCTCATGTCATATGACCTATTGTATGGCCGTCACCCAGCTGCGCCCGCTGAGTTCCAGAGAGGAACGCGTGCTGCGGGACACGATTTCTTTGTTGAGCGCGCGCCGGTTGAATTTGCTGCATCGGGAATGATGCCTGACGGTCGGCTTGAAGGTCGTGAAGGTGGCGGGTGACGATTCTGAGTGGTTTTGCGATACAATCGCTCACTGGCGAGGATGGGTAGGCTCTCCGGGGTTACGGTACGCAGCGCTACTGTAGATCAGGTTGATGCAGTTTTAACGACACTTGCGAAGTAAGAATCATCAGATAAGCACATTAGCAGGGCTATTGTGGCTGAAATCGCACTTCATAATCGCTATTGTTAGGTATGACTCAAATATCGTAAAAAGTTTCTTGGGTTGTGCGATGCTAGTTGAGGGTTTGTCACCAAATAGGTATGTAGGTAAACGAGCGCGCTTGGTTTTGTTTTGACCTGCATCTAGTAATCGATGAAAATAAGTACTTTAGGATAGTTTTCCGCCTCTCACTGGGTCAAGATAGCGGTTGTACCAATGTGTCCCGAAGTTTTCCTCTAACAATTTTCACTGCCGAATGCCGATGACGCCAATATCTCCCATCAAAGTGTTTTGTCCTTGCTCTCACAAATACCACGTGGTAGCAGCAATTTCGCTGTTTTACATGATAGGCACGGTGTCGACCTAGTATTTGGGGGACATCGGCTGATCGCGTACTGAGAAAAGATATGGAGATGATCCCAGTCTCTGTATGCGTGTTGGGACTAGACGAGGAAGCCACGCCCTCCTATCTGCCGCCCACCGCTCAGCGATCATTAGATGTCATCTCTGATCTCCGGCCCGGTGGTGTCATGGCCGATCCTGTTAACAATTCACGCCGCTTGTATTTACCACGGCGAATTGCTGATGGCTTTCGTCGGTAACACGCGGACTGTCACTGTTTGACCAGTGATGTCACCTGTTTGATATGTGACGTCCTATGTGACGATCTTTGATCTGTGGCATTGCCTGTGTAGGATCCATGGCGTATTCGGCGAATCTTCGGGTGTGGGTAAACGGAACGCAAGCTACCTTCAGGGCAGTTAGGCGGCTCGATGTGTCTAATGCTTGCACCATGGATGTTTCGTTCGAATGCATCAAAGCCTGTTGGCATGTGAAGGCACTAAATTTTCTGTCCCGTTCTGTTTAGCCAGAATGTTGTATGTACGCCTCCGTATTCCGTGTATCCTCGTGCGCTGCTACATATGTGGGCCGTTCCATGTTTTGATGACGTTGTCGTCATGCCACACCTGGCGCATCTTTGGACTCCACTCATCCCCTCCGACCCCGTGAGTTGATTCTCTCCCTACCAACGGATCCACCGTGTCACCAGACATATCGGTGTTGTAGCCGGCTCCAATCGGCCCCGATTTATGGCCCGCACTGAGCTACCGAGCGGCGGCGGTACGCAGCGGGGGGCGGTGGGCGCCCGCACGGCGGCGGGGGCCCCTCCGGGACTATTATGGAGCGATGTCGCCCACTGGCGGACTGTGGAGGCTGATTCGCCAAGTCAGATCCGCCCGGATGACCACGCCGCGGCGGCCGCAGTAATGGGTCGGCGGGAGGTTCGTGATTGTGAAATGGAAATAGATTACCGGCTAACGGGGGCCGCTTTGTCATAACGTCGTTAACGGATTTAGGAGATAATATATGCGTTTTGGAAGCAGCGTTCTTGGTCATTATGACGTCATTTGTGGCGATGCTTCCCGTTTGTTGCGTTACCTTTTTGGGCATCCTCTTTGTTAGACCCCAAGGATATTCCTCATAACTGTCACCAAAGTCTCCGCCAGGGACGATGATAATCCCCTACTTTTCGTGCGCATCCGACACCCATACATATAGTCGTCCTGTGTCGCCTCAGACATCTCCACAGCCTCTGTATACAGCGAGTCTGTGGGACGGATGGGCGCGGCCGTGGCTAATAGCGGCAATTTGATGACGGGGATAATGGGTATAATCCAGCGGCGATTGGTCATCTCACCAGGCTGAGCGGTTAGATGAAATGTTAACAATGTGAGAGCTGACCATCGTTTGTCGAACGTGCCATTTTATGACCGAGCGCCACGCAATGGCTGCATTGTTCCAGCGATCTGCTATGAACCTGGCTGGATGAACCGATATCCGTCTGACGGGCTTAGCTAGTTGTTTATTACTGGATGCAAAATTTACGGTTTCACGTGGACACTTTCTCTTCACTCGATAACATCCATGCCTTATAAAGTCACATAAAGCGACAAATCATGATCAACATTTGGGTTGATTGAACGATACCATGAGCCCCATTTACCACAGGGAAACTTGTGACATATTCTGTCCCATTATGTCAGGATCAGTTTTCATCATGCAAGTGCGTACCGTAAGGTTGCGTGTGCGAGCTAGGTTATCGACGAGATCGGGATGCCACGCATGGAACTCGTCTCTGCAGAGTCTAGCAGGGATATGCTGAATCTTTTCACGAGGTTCTTGAAATCGCTGTCTCGTTCCGACCAGGTCATTCATTTTTGGCCACGCTCGCTTCGATCTAGAAAGCTATCACTTCCAAATATGACGTGAATGAATGGTGACGGATAGTTGATCGCAGTTTTACGACAGTAAAGTGTTCTTTGACTTGCGCGTCCGCCGGGCCGCGGTTTCCTAGTTTGATAAAGTGATATACCGTATGGGCTTTGTCTTATTCACATGAAGTAAGACGTGCATTTGTCAGTGGCTCAATCCATTACGCAGATTCGAGTTCCATCCGTGTTTGAGGGCATACGTGCCTGATTCGGAGTATCCGTGAATCCCAGAAGCAGCTCAAAGATTCTATCAAAACCAGAATGCGCAATGTCGGCGATGTGCAGTGATAATAGCGACTAACTACATTATTCAAGGTCGGATCTTATGTTTCCATCAAACTATCTCCAAGACAAAGAATAAGAAGCGCCAAGGATTCTGACATATTTAGTTTTCCTTATTTCGTTTTCGGTCTTTGCGGCATTCCCAATGTACAGCTTTGGGTGGTTTGAACCGGCTCTGCCACCAGTATGTTGCATAGTCACGCTATATTCTCTGCCTTTCATCCTGCCGCTCGCCTGTAAACTGTATCATGTTTATCCGTCATTCCTAGCCAATGAATGTAATATGAACCCGAGAGATGCGATCTCAGAGCCAAAACACAGATGCTAATGGTGAATCACGATTGATAAATGGTAGAGAAGTCATAAACAAACTCTGTTCCAGATCTCCTCAGTGAACCGACTGCTACCCATCCTGCAGGTCCTTGCTCCTATTTTATGTTTTCCGTATCGGCCGGCACCCTTCAAAGACGCAGTAAACACACAGCCAAATACACTTAGCAACTTGCGTAGCAAGCTTGTGTGATCCAACGGAGGCTCCCTTGCTTACTTGCACATGCCTGACTGTCCGCTTTCTTCTCCCACAGGTGATTCAGATGTTCCGCGGCTGTAAACCGGACGACATGCCACCGCACATCTACAGCACGGCCCAGACGGCGTACCGGGCCCTGCTCTCTCAGCGGCAGGATCAGAGCGTGGTGCTTCTGGGACGCAGCGGTAGCGGTAAAACCACCAACGCCAGACACCTGATCAACTACCTGGTGACGGCGTCCACGGCGGCGGCGCCGCCCAACGCCAACCGGGCCGTCACAGGTTGGTATGGGGAGAGATACTAGAGGTGGGTACTGGGTATAGGGAAGGTTACTAGGGGCTAACCGCCAACCGGGCAGCCATATGTGAGCATAAGGGGAGATACTAGGGCTGGTTTGGTGTAGGGAACATTCTACATGAATGCGCGCTCCCCCGCCCAACACTGCAAGGGTGTGCAGTACGATGACTTAGAGTGACCGTTTAAGGCGTAGGAGCTGTAGGGGTGCAGGGACTACAACAGATCCCGATGTTAAAAAGTCACAACTCACATGTAGAGTTAGGATGGATAAGTACATAGACCGTACATAGTAAATAGCAGTTGGAACGAAATGTGCAAGCGAAGAGGAAACTTATGAATGACGATTACGTGCTAGGCTGTGTAATGTGATGAAATATTGCTGATCCGTGCGACACTTCAAAGCCGTACCGTGTGTTCAACTGCCATATTTCGAACATCGGGACCGGCTAATGGCACAGCTTTTATTAGCCCAGCTCGGTCGTCTTCTATCTTTGTGCGACCGTTTGCTGTCCGGTTTGATTTGTGACTGCATTTGGCGGTGTCAGTGCTGGCGTCTGACAGCTGATTTGTGGCGGTCTGCGCGTCTGGGTGCGTGTGTCTGTCGCTGTCCGTCCGTGTGTGTGTAGACACTAGACACGCGTACCCGGTGGTCTGTAAGTTGTCAAACGGGTGTGTTACGAACGCTGAGCAAACCCGCACTCGCCGCTAGTTTACGACCGTTCGAATTGGCAGGGTGTGGACGTAACGAAGCCCCACCCCGTGCTCCGGGGATAGACCAAACTGCTGTTTGGATTCCTCTGCGCGCCGGGGATTAGCGTGATGTGAAGTTGGGCCGGAATGGCCTGCTAAGGGGGAGGGTGGTTGTCAGAGGAGCGTTCACGGGAAGATGGGCTGTAGCACGACGTGATAGCGATCCGATAATGGGGAATGGTATGGGAGTGTAGTCGTGAGGAGAGGGGATAACGCCGGAAATTGAACTGGTGATCCTGCTGCTCTGAACTTTTACAATACATTTTTATGTCTGTGTGATACGATAATATTTATGTCTATCTATATCACTATATAAAACGAATTCGTGTTTATACTCGTATGCGACTGCAGGAAATAATATTTGTTCTCGCCGAACTATTCGATGTAAGAAGCAATGCTGTTTTAGATTCTCAAGTTTCTTGACCTTGTGATGTGTGTCCACCGGTGCAGACCAAGTCCTTGCACTAACTTCTGCCCTCCCCTGCTCAGTGGAGAAGCTGGCGGCGGCGTGGGCCCTGCTGGAGGCGTTCGGCAACTGCAGGACGGTGCTGAACACCAACGCCACCCGCTTCACCTCCGTGTTCAGCCTCGACTTTGACCAGTCCGGCCAGGCCGCCTCCGGATCCATACAGGTCAGAGGGCATGGAAGGGCATCGGAGGTCACCAGGGGTTACCAGAGGTCAGAGGGCGTGTGCTAGGCGTCAGGACCTTAGCGATGTTAACGTGTCGTAGCGGCAAAGCAACAAGGCTTATACATCAGTGGGTGTAATGATAGGATATCAAAGCTAGAAAATCTTAAAGACAAGTGTTGCGATAGCTATAACAATGAAAGCAATTTTGCATGCTTTCCTTTTCCGGTACAAAGTCATAATCCCGTCTTGATTCTTCGCCTTGTAGCATGGCCTCTGTCTCCGGCTTAAGCTTGAACTGCCACATCTCAGTGCTCATCACTCAGAATGATTTGTTCTTCTGACCCTCCCTCCCCTCCCCGCCAGGTTCTGATGCTGGAGCGGGACCGGGTGGTGCGCCGGCCCGAGGGCGAACCCTCGTTCCACGTGTTCTACCAGCTGCTGGCCGGCGCCGACCCAGCGCTGCGGCAGCGACTTCAGCTGGACGACGGAGCTGCCACCGGAGGCGACGGCGTCGGATTCGTCACGCCGCTCCAGAGGGTACGTGGGTCGGGTGGAGGGGGCTGAGCGTATAGGACACAAAGGACACAGAGGAACGAGTGGGTTCCTTACCTTACATTCTTTTAAGTATCTATAAATAGGCATTATTGCAGCAGCAACACCTTGAGGCTCAGTATCCGTAAAACACAGGTTTCTTAGATGGATATTCCGATTTAAGAAAAACGTTTCATGGTAAAGGCGTCAGTTGCTCAGAGCATTGTTCCAGGTGCCATGTAAAGTGGCATTAACTTCCAATTTACCAGCTAGTCAGGCAGATAGCCACCGAAGCCGTACCCGAGCTGTGTGGACCGCTCGGTGCTTCCGTCCCGGGTCCGATACACGCCCTGAGTGGTCGCGCTCACGATCCGTAACCAAATACGTGCAGCGTGTCCGACGCTGGGCGTTCAGATAGCGACTGACTGTGCTGTACCCCGCGCATTGGGCGAGCATTGTGCCACAGCCGCGCAACACCAAATACGACCGGGCGGGGCAGCTCGGAACAACACGTCACAAAGATGGCAGTCATGGGGTCTGATAGGCTGGGCTCCGTGCATGGTGCTGAACTGGGCACGGCTGTGGTCATGAGGCGGGCCGTTTGGTGCGGTATGAACGGGGCATTAGTTCGGACACGGCGGCCTTTCACCGACCTGCCTAGCGACTGGACTCGTAAAGCGACATTGCGGACGTTTCTGGAGTGAGCGCGAAATGGTGTTACGGGATGGGTAATATAAATACCTGAAATCTTAACGTGCAGTGCATTCAAGCTGCATGCCCTCGCTGGAACAGTTAGATGCAAGAAGGACTTAGTCGCATCGTTGCCATGCGCCGTGTATTCGAGCGAAGCGTGCTTGAGCTTGAACAATCGCACTGCAATGCATGGTATGTCACGCCAAATAAATCCGCACAGTTTCGTCGGCAGAGTTACGACAAACGGCCTTTGTCTTGAGGCGGTTACGCCAGGGACGATTGTGCATCGTGGTCATGCATGGATCGAAGTCAATCCAAAGACCCTGAGAAATGGCTTAGGGGTTGCCATCATTTTTGGTATTTATGTGCAGTGTGCACCGCATCTTTGTGGTAGCGGGATGTCGTCTACCTTGCTTAAGTGATTGCGGATTTGGTTCGAAAGTATGCCATTAGTCCGGAGAAGACTTCACCTCAGCATGTGGTACACTTATATGTTTTGTCGTTTTTATTAAATCTAAGGATTAATGCATGTCATTAGAGATTCGTAAGTGTTGATGTAGGCGCAATAGTCCTAAACCCATACTCGAATGCAAGCCATTTTAGATTCCCACTCTACACTTCCCACTCACTTCCCACTCTACAATTAAACACCCTTCTTCCGTTCACCCTCTTTTCCCTCCCACTCCATCTTTCTCCAACCTCCCCTCCCTGCCTCGCTTTTTCCCTCCCTCTCTCCCTCCCTCCCTCCCTCTCAAACCCTTTCTTATTTCCTCCCTATCTAACCTCCGTCTTTCTCCGCTCTCCAGGTGGAGGACCGTCAGCGGGCGGCGGCCGCCTGGGCCCGTCTGCTGCAGGCCGCCGCCACACTGTCTGTTCAGCCGGCGGAGACCGACGCCATCTGGTCCGTACTGGCGGCCATCGTACACCTGGGCGTCGCCGGAGTCAGCAAGGGTGAGTGCGACGGAGCAAGGGTGAACTTGATAGGGTGGGATGGTGTTTTGACTCCCTGACCCGCTAACCTCCCTGGCTTTTGACTCCCTGGCTCCCCACTAGGATGCTGGTGGGGTTCTGAGGGCGAGCGAGGGAGTTTGAGCTCATCTGTTGTATGAGTCATTGACCTTTTGTAAGCATTGATTGTGTTTTACCGTTTATGTAACATCCCCAAGTGGCGTAGTTGTGGTGTGTTCACCGTGTAGCCCTTGTTTGCTCTCAATACACACTGTTTCCTTCTCACCCGGATCTTTTTAGTGACGCATCCGTGCTCATGCCACTTGTCATCTTCTGAGCGCTACGACGGTCCCTCACCTGGTCGTGCAGTCCGATGATGATATCACCAGGGGCCTGTGCGTAATCGTTTATTCACCCCCCCCCCCCTCCTGCGGCCTTCGTATTTAACATAGCTGCATGCGCTTAATTTGTTTTCTATTCTAGCCCTCTTATTGATGCTATATGACGTTGTACACTTTGTAGCCTCCCCCCACAACCTTGTATCTCGGGACCTCAGAGTTCCCCTCTTCGTCTGTATGTCCCCTGTAACCCCGAACCAACCTCCTCCCACGGCAGGTCCGTCAGACAAGTACCAGTTCGCCGACCCGGCTGCGGCGCGCCGGGCCGCCGCCCTGCTCGGTGTCAGACTAGAGGACCTTGCGCGCGCCATTTTCGCCTCCCAGTCGAGTGGTGCGGCGACTCTGGCGCGCTCCGCCTACCGCACGCCGCCGCGCGCCCAGGAGGCCACCCAGGACCTGCAGGGCCGGGAGGCGCTCGAAGCGTTTGTGGCGGGTCTCTATGGTGACCTAGTCGGCGTGCTGGTGTCGCTCATCAACAGGTTAGCAGGAATCGGGTGGGAGCGGACTGTGTGAAACATGGGAATAGGGAATGCGGCTAGTAAAATGAACCGATCTCGACCGAACGACTGCACCTTTTTGTTAGTTTCTTTTTTAGCTTACCGTTTATTTATTGCAGCGTGACGCTGAAACGTATTAGGACATTGGCTGGGCCCTTATAGTATGTACCGCTCTGCTCTTTGAATAGCGTACTTCAGCCTCTCGCTTCGTTTTTTTTCTAGCAGTTTCAGTCATCGCCTTACTGCGGCCTCGTTTCCTGCCTCTCGTTCGGCACTGACCTCAGTCTGTGCCCTGTTCCTTCCTCCGCTGACCTCCGGTGATCTCCGCCTTCCCAGGGCCATCTCAAGTCCGGCGCACACCATCAACTCAGTGGTGGTGGTGGACGCGCCCGGTCTGCAGAACCCCAGCTCCTGCGGCCGGCCGGGCGGCGCCACCTTCGACGAGTTCTGCTTCAACTACGCCCAGGAGCGGCTGCAGCTGCTCTTCCACGAGCAGACCTTCATCCACGAGCGCGACAGATACGCACAGGTGCGGAGAATGCGTGATTCGCGTGGGTTGGCTGGTCGATGTGCTGGGCGCCATAGCCGTGCCATGTCTGCTGGTGGTGGCTGCAGAGTGACATCTCCTTGGCAGCTATTCGTAATTTCTTTGTTGATATCCAGTCTCCGCCTGGCCCTCTCTTTTAACCACTCTCTACCTCCTCCCCACAGGAGAACATCGCTCTGAACATGTCGGAGCTGGAGGGGGACGTCTCGACGCCCGCGCCGCTGGTGCACACCCTGGACCGGTCACCGGCGACTCGGCTGGTGCGCTCCTCACAGACGGAGCTGCGGAACGGCGACCGGCGCGGCCTGCTCTGGCTTCTGGATGAGGAGGCCCTGCAGCCGACTCCGTCTGACGCGGGGTTCCTCCAGAACGCGCTCGATATGTACAGCTCGCGAGGTGAGTTTTGTAGTGCAACCCGCGAGGTGAGACTGTGGTACGCCTATACAGATTGCTGATGAGATGAGCGCAGGCTTTGAAATGAGACTTTAATGCCTGTTGAGGTAGATGGTAATATAGTGTACATACACTTCCAGTTGAGACTCCCTTGTGATTTGAACAACCAGTTATTTTACGGTTTATTGAAGCCACACATTACGAACTACGAGTTTTGTTTGTCATTTCATTGATAACAATGCTTTGTATATTGTGCAATTATCCAGTACCGCTGTATTCTGCAGCTTACAATTAATTTTTGTGTTGTGAAATCATTCAGCACAATTGTATTCCTCTAACCGTTTCTAACACTCTTACCTCTCTCACCCACAGCCGACCAGCAGGTGCTGACCCGGGGCCCGGCGGAGGGCCACCTGGTCCTACAGCACTTCCAGGGCACCAACCCGGTGTCGTACAACGTGCACGGCTGGGTGCGCGCCGCCCGGGAGACGGCTGCCTCGCGCGCCGCCGCCACCATGCTGCACGAGTCCACCAAGTGAGACGGGAGAGAGGGGAAGTGCTGGTGCTCTAATGGGACGGAAAGGGGATGCGGTTGCTGCCATCGGGTTGATAGAGGATACGATGAGTCTATGATGGTGACAGTCAAAGTGCTGATGTGTCATAATTCATATATCATCGCAGTGTCAGACGTCAGTCCATCGATGATTGTGTAACATTATCGTTAGTCATATAGATTGTGTGATTTACAAGAAAATGTCCAAAAATGTACTCAGCTCGGCTAGCCTAGTGTTAGTTCACAGTCGAGTCTATGTTCCGTCCCACAGAACCCCTCTGACCGTGACCCCTACCCCTCTCCCGCCCTCAGGGAGTCCCTGAGCCGTCTGTTCGTGTCGGCCCGCGGCGCCGGACTCGGTCCAGCCGTCTCCGGCGGCTCCGTGGTCGGCATTGACGGCTCCCTGTCACTACGACGCGCCTCCAGTATCAGACGCACCTTCACCTCCGGAGCGGCGGGCATTAAGAGGAACAGCCGCGCGCTGCTCGTCAAGTTCCAGCTGGTCAGTGGAAGGGAGGGAGGATAGAGGGCGGTTCTGTGTGGGGAGAGAGGGTTTGAAGGCTCGCTAGTGCCACGGGAAGGTAGATGAGGGAAGTCATGCTGTGCCACGGTGCTGGTAGAATATTTCGTTAGAGCAAGAGCAAGAAGAGACAGGCGAGAGGTAGCTGAGCGGCAGCTGTCAAGGGATGTTTTGGATAGTTGGGGTGACTCGAATGTTGACTGGGCTTAGGGTATTTAGGCCTACACGTGGAGGGCGCTACGTGCACCCACATCCTTCCCTGTCCCTCCCCTTAACCACGATGCTAACGCCTACCCTCCCGTCAGGACGGTGTGGTGGAGCAGCTGCGCCGCACCCGGGCCCGGTTCGTCCACTGCCTGCTACCGCAGCACACAGCCGGCCTGTGTGAGCTGCGGCCCGCCACCGCCAACACCACGGCGCCCTCGGCGGGCCAGAAGACGGCCAGTCCGGAGGAGATCATCATCAACGTGCCGCTCCTGCGGTCTCAGGTCAGTGTCGTGTCGGGAGTTCGACGTCGGCTTTGGGTCATATCCTTAGTGTGAACTGTAGACGAGGCATTGGTCGTTGCAGCTCGAGGGTCGCTCCACTTGAGGTTATGAGTGGCTGTGGCTCAGCTGCTGTCTGTTTTTCTTTGAAGCATATCAGCTGTTTTAGTCGCGACAATGTGGTCAAAGAAAAGCTCATACCGCTGTCATGTACCTTATATGCATTTTAGGCCTTGCTTGCACCCATTTCACATTCGCTGCTATGCTTTTTCAGAATCATATCTATCATCTATCTCTATGACTGTCTATAACACCCAGTGTTAATTGACCCAGTGACCATTTAACCCGCTCCCCCCCCCCCCCTCTACAGCTGCGCGGCGCCCAGCTGTTGGACGCCCTGCGGCTCCACAAGCAGGGCTACCCCGAGCACATGCCGTTCGCCGAGTTCCGACGGAGGTTCGCGCTCCTGGCGCCAGATGTCACTGTCGACGAGGGCAGCACGGCGGGTGGAGACGAGCGGGCGGCCGTCGATCAGCTGATGTTACAACTGGATGTGGACCCCGCGTCGTACCGGCTCGGACTCAGCCAGGTCAGTTCGCTGGACGGGATGGTTGTTTGGTTATTCGTTCATTCGACCGTGACATTCGTCAGTCATTCAAACGTTCTGTAGTCACAACAGTCGCAGGCCCACACAACATCACGGCCCACCATCTCAAGCACACACACTTGCTGAACACGGCTGAGCAGTCTGCTGATCACCAATAACAGCAGGGTACAGTCTCCGAATTGACAGCTACAAGCTGTAGCTGCCAGGGTCCGGGTCTTTCAATAGTTTACCGACCAGCAGCAGTCAGACGCAACCACAAAGCTTGGGATCGTTAGACGTTATACATACTGTGCTGGTACCGATTACTGAAGTATCAGGGCAGGTCCACAGCGTGATAGCGTTTTGCTGTCGAATGGACCTTCGCGGTCCATGAGGCAGCATTATCTGGTCTGAGCAGATACTTGACACGTGTTGCGGGCTTCGAATCACGCATCGAGCGCTGGTGACATCTAACAGCGAATCCACTCTGTGTGACTGCCGTACGCTACCCCTGGATCTCGTTGTTTGCCTTCGCGTGTTTGGATATCATAATCGTACTCGCCTCCTTGATTGGTTGAGACCAATAATCAGCGTTTCGCTGGCTGCTGTTTCTCACTGTTCATCAGCTGTCTCTTCAGCCATAACCGATCGTGTGCCGGTCTTCACTGGAGTCACACCAGACGTATTATTTCGCCGATGGTACAGCGTCTCGGCTATCGAGGCTATCTCGGTTCGTTTCCAGCGTACTGGACAACTGTGACGGACTTCGGACACAGTTCTCGTCACTCCGGCTCTCACATTGGTTGACCTGGATAGGTCACCAACCGTCACAACGGGGCTGGGCTTTGAGGAAGTCGATAGGTCACTGCACGGTGCACGTACAGTGGAAAGTGCGTCACTGTATTGCAGAAAGGCCGGAAGTAATGGTGAATGAGGTATTTTTTGTCTCTTGTATAGGTGAGTTGGTCGGTATGCTTCACATTTGATGGAGACATCTTGTTCCACAGTCCATTGTTCCTTGGAAATCTTCATTTAGTCTCATTATCAGCGTAGTAATAAGGGAAAAGAAAAGTATGATAACTATCTTACCTTTGAAGTCTGCATTGTCTGCATCTATTAGTGCAGTAATCGCGATTGGTTTTCCTCTACTCCGGTTACACTTCCTCTACGGCAGCCTGATACACTACCCTGTCTTCATCAATGATAAGTTTGATGTCCCTCGCCATGCTTTCATGCTTGTTAATGGCGCAGTTGATATTCATTCGGTACGGTACTGATTCTCATCGGGTTTCCACGGCTGGTCTTTGTGTTGTCGTCATGATGTCACGGATATCCTCGTAAATTTGGCGTTGTGTGAACTGGTGAGTTTCCCTGAGATGTCTTCGGAGCTTAGAGTGGATGCCCTTGACCAACTTTATCCATAGTTCTTTAATCATTATGTGATACACCATTTTAATTTGATTTTATTATGTGGACACAAATGGAGTTTGTACATAATTAAGCTTCCTACATATCACTTATGTTTAAGGAAGTGTTATACCGAGTCCTTTTCCTATGTGCCGCTGACGTGAGCGGTATCGTTCCGTTTTCCCGGCTTCTCACGTCCCGTCGCGCCGCGTCTCGTCTCTATCGGCCCGGTGAGCTGACGGCGGCGGCTGGGACCGGCAGGCCCCGTCCTCACGCCATTGGGTCATTTATCATCGGAGGGCCGGGCCGGTCACACGGCAGCGGTCACTTCCCGTGGCAGACTGACGGGCTGGGAGTGGAGAGCTTTGCGGTAGTGCACATAAGATCAGGCACTGCACGGAAGTCGGGCTGAGAGATACAGTACTCTCCAAACACGAAGATGCAGTTAACACAACATCATGGGATATTGATATACAATGGTATACAGTATACACTACACAAGACAGCAGGGGAGCCGGACAGGGAGAAGCGGTACTTATACGGCACGAGATATACAGAACAGCACGTTCAGAGGAGAATGAAATGCTAATTGTTCTAATTAAATGTTACAGAAGTCTATCCGGCGGATCTGAGGGCGTGACAGAACGTCTAAGTGCCGTAACAGTGCCGAGTGACGGGTCTGGAGTGAGACGTCAGGACAGATGGCTGGGCGGGCCTGCGAGCGTCGCGCCTCCGTTACACCATTTCTCGCGCGTGCCCCGTTACATCCACGCTAGAGACAGGACGCGTCCGCCACCTGTTGACGCTTCCGAGTCACCATCGATCGGTATTGAGTCATTAAGTCATCCGAGTCAGGTGTCAGAGTCGGTTGGCCGTCCGTCGGGGCAGCAGGATTACGGGCTGGAGATTTAGCTGGCCGGCTCGGTACGGACTTGGGCTACTCTCTCAGACACGCTCACCGTCCACCGCCTATGCTGCGTCCACGCTAGTCTGTGCGTTACCATACCGCTGTGGTCAGCTCTAGTCGACAAATGGAGACCAGTGGAGGCGTTAACGGTGCTCTATAACGACCGGCAGGCGCCAGCTGTCGACCGCCGCGCCGGATATGTTCGGCCGAGGGCTCGGGCGGCTGACAGGATCGTTCTGGATGGCTAACATGAACTTACAGGAGCTGGACCGAACTTGGCAGCAAGGAGGATTGGACATTTTTGTTGTGGCGCGGAGTGTTGGTTCCCGATTTTTTGTGATAGATCTGGTTTTTGGATTGGGATCTTTTCACGATCGTACTGTTCCGGTAAAGGAAGTAAATTTGACGTCTGACCGGTTTTTTACTTGTTATTCGTTCCCATCGAGTCGCGATGGGAACGGCGTCCGACAAAAGGTGTGCAATGATCGCTTTTAAACAAGAAAAACACCGGGTTGATCGTAATCTAGCTTCCTGAACACTCAGGACTTTCCTTATTGCGTTTGGCTTTCAAAACAATGCAAGGACAAGATGAAGTCAGTACTGCGAGTAGGATTGAGTGTACCGCGTGTGAATCGACTCTCATTTCAATTTCCGTGTTCAACCAATGCGCCCATATAACCCCACCAAAGCTGATGTTTCTCTTGTCACTTCTTTAGCCAATGGTTAAGGGCATTGCCCTCGGCCCTGGCTTATCGTGTTTGCGGCGTGTGGCGGGGCTGATCACGGCAGCGATGCGTGAGATGAACTCGTGACACGGCTGGCCACCGTGACCGTGACGCGGTAACGTCCACTCGGGCCGTGACGCTGTGACGTCCACGCTGACCGTGACGCCGGGGTCACCTGTGACACCGTGTAACGCTGTGTTCCACCGTATGTTGCCAGTCCACTGTGGTAGAACGAGTGGTGAAGACACGGACAGTGCACTGACCTGAGGTTTATGGCTCTTGTTTGCTAGTTGGATATCACTAGTAACGTGAACGTTACTATTATAAGCTCGTGCTACACCGTAAGTCGAGCGATGTGTCTCGTCTCAACAAGGAAACATGCTTGCTTTAACGTATCGTAGTGGTAAGACCTGTGTTTTCCGTCTTGATGTAAGAGAGATGTGGCCTTCCTGGGGCGACGGACAGCAGCTGTCGTGTCTTGTGGTTTACTGCATGGTTCACCTGGCGTTAACAGGACAGGGCGACACGCTACTGCTTCCTCTATCATCGCCGCTTTCTGGACTCCCCACAATAGCCGTTGCTAATCTTACCATCACTCAGCTCGCTCGTTGTCCTCTCTGACATCCAGCACATACAGACTGTAGACGGCTGGAGGGAAGGAACTAACTAAATTCGGTAACAGGCGGCTTTTCGGTGGTGTCGGCCGGTCTTCGCTCATACATACGTCACAATTAGTCGTCATATATACCTACGTCATAATATACGGTGCCATACATACGTCATAATTATTCGTGGGTGCGGTGTTGACTACCGCGGCGGCCGGCGGCCTGTCCTGCCGGCTCTGTGGTTAGCGGTGGGACCGTGAGTCTGAAGTGAAGGTGGAAGTTTCGGCTTGTGACTCAACGCTTAGAGCTGAGGAATGACTGAGATGCTGCCGATATTGGTACGAGTACAGCAATGATGAATTTTAACCGCAATGGATCTATTGTTTTGACAGAAAGAGTTGGATGATGTCAGCTTATAAACTGATTTAGGTTTTATTAGAGTGGAGCTACATTCCACAAATAAGTCGTTTATGGAAGTGGCTATACTCGCTTGTAGACAGAATGAGCTCACAAAATGGATGCTATTTATGCAAGTCTCTTGTGGTGACCTCTCAATGTCCAGTGGCAGTGGCCTTGCTCCGTTCCCTGTCCGCACGACCAGCACCATGCACCATCTACGTGAATCTTATGGCGTACCGTGACCAATCCAGCACGGGATGTACGGCACGACTCGCTCTGAACCTGATTGGTTTGCACGGTCCGTCGGTTGTTTATTACGCAACTGGTGGTGCTCCCTGGCCAGTCTGTAGATTATCTAAAGTCTCGCCAGTCTGTGCAGCACAGTCTCGTCAGCCCATGTGAATTAGGTTTACAGTCTTACTCTCACCGGTCTACTGGTCTGATGGGTATGGCGTCACGGTACAGATGCCGTCCCGAGGTTCGTTACTGTGCCTCCGCGGAAGTCTATTCCGCCGCCGTTAGTTGGCGAGATAAGATCCCGGCCGACACACGTGTCAGACGGTCTTAGCCGTCACATTTGTCGGTCCGTCGGACACAGCCGTCATAACTGTCGCAGGGCTGTCACAGCTGTCAGTTCATGGCACACAGCCGTCATCATAGCACCGGTCATTGTCAGCGTCTGGTCGGTGGAAACGACAGAAGCCGACGGATTCGCTTAGGATCGGAGATCCGCCGCTGTTCCGATCCGCTGTATTGGTCGGGTCACGGGGTCAGGTCGGAAATCGGGTCAGTGAGTCTGATCGGACGGCGAGCGAAGGCCTGGTCGGATGTCGGGTAATTGGGTCGGGTCTAGGTCTCTGGTTAGACGGACGTCAGCTCACCTGACCTGACTGGTCACTCATGGTAAGGTCTGGCTGGACATCAGGTCATCAGGCCTGCCTGGTTGAATGTTAGGTTATA